CATTTATGTTACAATGGGCAGTACTAAAAAAAATGAATTGAGGTTGTATTGGTCCACAGACCCGTTTCTTCATTTGCTGTGTTCTCTGTTGCCTTGGCAAGGCATAGATATGAGAATATAATTTTATGCATTTTAATGACAATAAACTGTAATCCTCGGGGTGACCCTGAATTTGACTGGCTCCACAAAACTTGGCCCCTCATAAATCACCTTAACCAAAAATTTGCAGATATGTCTATACTGTGCAGCAAAACAGCTGCATTGAGGAGTCCCTCATTAATTTTTCTGGCCGCCTTGCATTCAAACAATTTCTCCTCAGCAAGCGTGCCAGATATGGGGTCAAGATGTAGAAGACCTGTGAGAGGGCAACAGGCTATACATAAAAGTTTCGGATTTATGAGGGAAAAGATAGTCACGTGGAGCCCCCCGGATGCCCAGACTACATGGGGAGCAGTGGCAAGATAGTTTGGGACTTGGTGACATCCTTTTTCCATATGGGGTACCACTTATACGTGGACGATTTTTAATCAAGCATGCCACTATTTAGACATTTGTACAATCTTGGAACTGGCGCATGTGGTACCGTGTGACCTAATGTGTGCCCACCATTAGAAGTGGGTGGATGCAGGGCGGTATATTCTAATGGTGGGCATACCACACACTTTTTCTGGCAGAGATTTCTTCTCTTTTTTTCATTCAGTCCACAGGCTGCATACAAAAAAAAGAACAGTGAGAAACACAAGTATTTGAACACCCTGCGATTTTGCCAGTTCTCCCACTTAGAAATCGTGGAGGGGTCTGAAATTCACATTGCAGGTGCATTCCCACTCTGAGAGACAGAATTAAAAAAAAAATTCAGGAAATCACATTGTATGATTTGTAAAGAATGTATTTGTCTTGCACTGCTGAACATAAGTATTTGAACACCTAAGAAACAGCAAGAATTCTGGCTCTCAAAGACCTGTTACTGCGCCTTTAAAAAGTCCACCTCTACTCCACTCATTAATCGAACTTAGTAGCACCTGTCTGAGCTCTTTAAAGACACCTGTCCACCCCACAGTAATTCTGACGCCAACTACTACCATGGGCAAGACCAGAGAGCTGTCAAAAGACACCAGAGACAAAATTGTAGACCTCCACAAGGCTGGAAAGGGCTACAGGGCAATTGCCAAGCAGCTTGGTGAAAATAGATCAACTATTGGAGCAATTGTTAGAAAATGGAAGAGGCTAAAGACGACTGTCAGTCTCCCTCAGACTGGGGCTTCATGCAAGATCCCACCTCGTGGGGTATCACTGATGATAAGAAAGGTGAGCAATCAGCCCAGAACTACAAAGGAGGAGCTGGTCAATGACATGAAGAGAGCTGGGACCACAGTTTCAAAGGTCACTGTCGGTAGAACACTACGCCGTCATGGTTTCAAATAATGCATTGCATGGAAGGTTCCCCTGCTCAAGTTGTCACATGTCCAGGCCGTCTGAAGTTTGCAAATGACCATCTGGATGATCCAGGGGAGGCATGGGAAAAATTCATGTGGTCAGATGAGACCAAAGTAGAACTTTTTGGTCTAAACTTCACTCGTCGTTTTTGAAGGAAAAAGAAGGATAAGTTGCATCCCAAGAACACCATCCCTACTGTGAAGCATGAGGGTGGTAACATCATGCTATGTATTAAGGAGAGGATGAATGGGGCCATTTATTGTGAGATTTTAGCAACAACCTCATTCCCTCAGTCAGAGCATTGAAGATGGGTCGTGGCTGGGTCTTCCAACATGACTACGACCCAAAGCACACAGCCAGGATAACCAAGGAGTGGCTCTGTAAGAAGCATATCAAGGTTCTGGAGTGGCCTAGCCAGTCTCCAGGCCTAAATCCAATAGAACATCTTTGGAGGAAGCTGAAACTCTGTGTTGCTCAGCGACAGATCCGAAACCTGACAGATCTAGAGGAGATCTGTGTGGAGGAGGGGGCCAAAATCCCTGTTGTGGTACAAACCTGGCCAAGGACTACAGGAAACGTCTGACCTCTGTAATTGCAAACAAAGGCTTCTGTACCAAATATTAACACGGATCTTCTCAGGGGTTCAAATACTTCTGTTCAGCAGTGCAAGACAAATAAATTCTTTAAAAATCATACAATGTGATTTCCTGAATTTTTTTTTTAATTCTGTCTCTCAGAGTGGGAATGCACCTACAATGTGAATTTCAGACCCCTCCATGATTTCTAAGTGGAAGAACGTGCAAAATTGCAGGTTGTTCAAATACTTCTGTTCCTCATTGTGTATACCCAACAAGTACCAGCGATGTACTGGTACATCACTGGACTTTGAATGGTTATACCAGGATGATGCCTACAGCTGCAGGCATCATTCTGGTATAATTTTTTTCAGCTGGCGATCAGCTTTCATGTAAAAGCAATCATAGTGGCTAATTAGCTGCAGGATTGCTTTACAAAGCAGAAGGAGATGATCCCCCCTCCCACGCTGCCTTCCATGACCTTCTCAGGCAGTCCCATGCCATCAGGGGGAACCTGTGAATGCAGTCGGTGTTTCTGCCAGCTGGCCATAGAGCTGATGGAGACCAATCATCTCTATAGCCTAAGAAATCGGAAGCTACAAGCATGTCATCACTTCAGTTTTGCAGGATATAAACAGCGCCATTTGTAAATTGGGAAAGCATCTGATCACACTGATCTTGGTGAGATTAGATATTGTAAGGGCAGAGGAGATATCTAGAGTCTGATAGACCCCAGATTTCTCAAAATAGAATATATGACAATGCCCATTGAACCATTGAAGTTATAGGGGATGTTTGCATTCCCTGTGATAGCATTAAAAGTGATTAAAAAAAAAAAAACATAAAAGGGACAGTGTGAATTTTTTAAAAAAAAATCAAAATAACATAAAAAAGTACCCTGCCCCCCCCCCCCCACACGCATGCGCGCACCTGCGTTCGTGAGCGTTGACCCTGTGCCAGTATGGAAAGAGCAGTTGCACCATGCATGTGAGGTATTGCCATGAACGTCAAATCAAGGGCAGTAATTCTAACACTAGACCTCCTCTGTAAATCTAAAATAGTAGCTTGTAAAGGCTTTTAAATCGTTGCCTATGGATAATAAAACGTATGCAGTTTGTCTCCATTGCACGGGGCATGCGCAGTTTTTAAGCATGTCATGTTTGGTATCTATTTACTCGGCATACCATCATCTTTTATACATTACCAAATAATTGCCCAATATATTGTGCTTTTGTGCATTAAAAGTAAAAAAAGTGTATTCTTTTTAAATTGCGTATGAAAAATCGCTGTGCGAGTACTATGTGACATAAAAAATTTCAGCAACCACCATTTTATTCACTAGGGTGTTTGCTTTAAAAAAAATTTCTAGCAAAAAATACAGATTTTTTTCATGTGAACAAAAAGTGTCAGAAAATGCTTGGACTTCAGGCAATTAGAAGAGTGAATGATGTGTGGCATAAACTTCTAATGCTGGGCATAAAATACCCCCACCCCCCAAAACAACCCCTTGTTGGAAAGTACACACCCCAAACTATTTGCTGAGAGGCATGTTGAATCAATAGAAGAATTTATTTTTTTAACACAGGTTTTTTCTTTACACAAAATTGTCACTGAAATGATGTATTGCTCACACATGTCATGGGTATATGTGGAATTACTCCCCAAAATACATTCTGCTACCACATGTGAGAGATGTTTTGGTAGTCTAGCCAAGGACAGGACCCCAAAATACAATAAGCACTTTTAGGCTTTTAAAGGGCTTTATTTCCTCATTACACTTCCTGACTACCTATCACAGTTTTGGAAGCAATTAAATGCCAGGATAGCACCAACCCCCCCCCAAATTACCCATTTTTGGAAAGCAGATACCCCAAAGAAACATGGTGTGTATTTTTCAGATCTAGTTTGTTGCCACAAGTTTTTGGAAAACAAAGAAAGAAAACAAAAACATATTTTTTCTTTTCTTTTTTTATATTTCAAAACCTTGTGAGAAAAATAAGATCTGCAAAATACTCACCATGCCTCTTTTTAAATTCCTTGGGGTGTCTACATTTCAAAAAGGGGTCATTTGGGGGGTGTTGGTGCTATCCTGGCATTTCACGGCCTCCAAAACTGTGTTAGGTAGCGAGGAAGTGAAATGAGAAAGTTACGTACCTTTAGGCTTTCAAAGTGGTCATTGGATTTCAGGCTCCTGTGTGTGGCTAGGCTCCCTAAAAGCCTCACACATGTGGTACCCTCCATAGAAGTAGCAGAATGTATTTTGGGGTGTAATTCCTACATATACCCATGGCTTGTGTGAGAAATATACCATTTAATTGACAACTTTGTGTTAAAACGAAATACAAAAATGGTTTTGTCATTTTCCAAAAACTTTTGGAAAAAATAAATCTTTCATGGACTCAACATGCCTCTCAGCAGATAGCTTAGGGTGTCTACTTTCTGAAAAGGGGTCATTTGGGGGTGTTTGCACTATCCTGGTATTTTAAAGGCAAATTTGTCTTTATTGTTTTGTATAAATTTAACAAGCAGAGCACAGGAAAATAAAAAACAAGTACAACTCCAGTATCAAAAGAAAAACATCAGAGAGGTAGTTATGATCCATGGGGATAAATAAAAATAGTGCAAACATAGTGCAATATAACAGCGTGAGGAAAGGTTTAATAACCGATATCATGGAGGTATAACATAACAAATTGCCAGGGGGGTATCCCCTGGCGCAGTGTATGGACCAATGTGAAAGAACTCTGCATAACCAAGATGGTAAATTGTAATTGAGGAGAAAGAGAAAAGGAAGAAGAAGAAAGAAGAGAAGAAAGAGAGAGTGTTATGATCCGCCAGGTGGTGCCTCAGGCTGCCAACTGACAGACCTACCCAGAGCGTGGGGTCTAAGCCCGGGCTGTGCTTTCACCAGGCCCCTGATGGTGGGGATGGACTTGTAACAGACCCGGGCCAGGTCACGACCTCCGAGCAGGCCCACCAGTGGCTGAGGAAGCCTCCGGGGACGTATGCAGTTACGTATGGGAGAGCCAGATGTGAAGAGGATGGTGGCCCTAGCAGGGTGGTAACGGACCGTGGTCCCGTGGGGGTAAGCAGGGTACCGAATCGGCGGGCAAAGAGTAGTCAGGTCACACGCAGGATCAGCAGGGTAAGTCAGTCCGTAGAATGGTCAGACAAGCCGGGGGTCAGAATAGGAGAAGGCAGAGTAGTCAGAGCAATCCGGGTCAATCACAGGAGAAGGCAGTGTAGTCAGGGCAATCCAGGTCAAATCACAGGAGAAGGCAGCGTAGTCAGGGCAATCAGGGTCACTAGAATGGATACAGGAACTCAGGATCACAGATAGCCCTTGCGGCCATCTGTGACAGTGCAGGGCATCTTTAAATAGTGCACCCTGCACTGTCATTGGCCGGCCAGGACGCGCCCCCGGCTGTCATTGGACGCCTGAGGCGCGCCCACGGCTCCTACTGCGCATGCGCGGCATCCTGTCAGCCGCGGCTCGCCGGGACCTAGTGCCTGTGTCCCGGCGTGATCTGCCGCCAGTGCGCATGCGCAGGGGGAGAAGCCGCGATCCCTGACCCTGGAGCCGCGATCCCTGACAGAGAGAGAGAGAGAGAGAAAAAGAGAAGGGGGTGCGGAGCGGGGACGGCAGTAAGCAGCAGCGAGATAGCTGCCCATGAGTATTACGTGGAAGCAACCTTGATGTACATAGCACGGCATGAGACATATTATTATTTATTATTATACAGTATTTATAAAGCGCCAATAGTTCGCTCAGCGCTGTACATTACAAAGGGGGACAGAACATGTGACAGAACAGTAGCAATACAATGCAAAACATGAGGGGATTGAGGGCCCTGCTCTTTCGAGCTTACAATCTAGGAGGGAGGGGATAGTGGTACAGGAGGAGATAGCTGTGGGGGATGGGGTGGTAGGAAGAGTGGAGGAGGTTGGCAAGTTAGCAGGGGGTGGGGTAGGCTTCCCTGAAGAGGTGGGTTTTCAGGGTGTGCCTAAAGGAGGGGAGAGTAGGTGATAATCTGATGGGTTGGGGCAGGGAGTTCCAGAGGATAGGTGACACTGGAGAAGTCTTGGAGGTGGGCATGGGAGGAGGAGACCAGGGAACTAGAGAGAAGGAGGTCCTGTGAGGAGCGGAGTGTGCGTGCTGGGCGGTACTTGGATATTAGGTCAGTGATGTAGTTCGGGGCAGTATGGTGGACAGCTTTGTACGTCAGTGTTAGGATTTTGAATTTGATCCGTTGCGCAATCGGAAGCCAGTGGAGGGATTGGCAGAGGGGGGTGGCGTAGATGGAGCCGTTGGAAAGGTGAATGAATCTGGCTGCCGTATTCAGGATCGACGGAAGCGGGGATAGCCAGCAGCGAGGCAGGCCAGTGAGGAGGGAGTTGCAGTAGTCGAGTCGTGATATGTGAGTCGTGATATGATGAGGGAGTGGATGAGCCGTTTAGTGGTTTCTGGGGTTAGGAACATGCGGATTTTGGCGATGTTGCGGAGGTGAAGTCTGCACGAGTTAGTTAAAGATTGGACTTGGGGCTGGAAGGATAGGTTGGAGTCCAGAATGACACCAAGTACTCTGGCCTGCGGGGCGGGTTTGATGGTGGCGTTGTTGGATGTGATGGAGAAGTCAATGGGGGGGGGGGGTGTTCAGGCTGGGGGGAAGACAAGAAACTCGGTTTTGGAGAGGTTCAGTTTAAGGAAGTGGAGCGACATCCAGTCTGATATGTCGCTCAGTAGGTGTGTTATTCGGGCGGAGACCGAGGGGGTGAGGTGGGGGGTTGAGAGATAGATTTGTGTGTCGTCGGCATAGAGGTGGTAGTTGAAGCCGTGAGAGTGTATGAGTTGGCCAAGGGAGGAGGTGTAGATGGAGAAGAGAAGGGGCCCAAGGACAGAGCCTTGAGGGACCCCAACAGAGAGGGGGAGTGAGGGGGAGGTGGTAGCATTATAGGTAACGCTGAAGGAGCGTTGTGACAGGTAGGATGAGAGCCAGAATCTCTGAGGCCGAGGGAGTGTAGTTTTTTGAGGAGAGGGGGGGTGGCCGACTGTGTCGAGGCCGCAGAGAGGTCAAGGAGTAGGAGCACTGAATAGTGGCCATTAGCTTTGGCGGTTAGCAGGTCATTGGAGAGTTTGAGTAAGGCGGTTTTGGTGGAGTGTAGGGGACAGAAGCCGGACTGTAGGGGATCGAGGAGGTGGTTGTCGTTGAGGTGAGAGCATAGGCGGGCTGAAGACTAGGTGCTCGAGGAGTTTAGATGTAAATGGGAGCAGGGAGATGGGTCTGAGGTTGTTCGGGTCATTGTGGTCAAGGGAGGGCTTTTTAAGTATGGGGGTGATGTGTGCATGTTTCAGAGGGGAGGGGAAAATGCCTGAGGAGAGGGAGAGATTGAAGATGTGGGTGAGGGAGCATAGGATGGAGGGGGAGGGAGGTCGTAGGAGTTGTGAGGGGATAGGGTCAAGGGGGCAGGTGGTGAGGCGGGCATCAGAGAGGATCTTGGAGACTTCCTCGATGGTAGTAAGGTCATAGAGTCCAAATGGCAGAAAAGCCAAAATGAGATCGAGTTGGTGGAACAAGGCACAGCTCCACTAGGGCGTAGCAGGGGCACACATATCACGGAGAGTCGTAGAGGAGGAAAAATGAAGCCAGACCGACCACAACTGCTTATGTTTATCATTAGTATCATTAGTAAACGCCAGCATCTCCTCCATACGCATGGTATCATTAAGCACGGAGACCCACATCGGAAGAGGGGGGGCAGCTGATTTCCAAAAAAAAGGTATTAACTGGCAAGCTGCAGACAGGAAGAACCGCAACAGACATTTCTTCTGTGATGCCCAGGAGCCCGGCAATATAGAAATAAGAGCAATTTCCAGAGAAGGGGTCAAGGTCTCCCCGTAGATCTCATTATACACAGCAAAGACCTGCCACCAAAAGGGTTGTATTCGATCACAATCCAACCAAATGTGGAGTTGTGTACCAACAGCTCTCTCACAGCGCCAACAAAGATCAGGTGTA